TACAGAAAAGTGCATAGAATATATGTGTACAGTTTACTAAGCATTTATAATTATAAAGCGAAACTCTGCATGGCTGCTACCCAGGTCAAGAAATTCAGCATTCCAGAAGCCCCCATGTGGTACACCATTTCTTAAGCTCATTTGTTTCATCACTATGTGAACAACTGTACAATAGGCCTGTTATTTTTCGACATTAAAAAATTAATTTTACGATTCTATAGCATCTTACTATGCTGATGGACAGTGACTGTAATGGGGCATGTGGGGGGGACTTGATAATAGGTGGAGTCTAGTAACCATAGTGTTCAAGTAATTGTACATTAATGATATTAAAATTTTTAAAAATTAATTTTAGAAAAAATCCTGTTAACATGGGTGTTTTAAGTTTTCAACATAATTTGAGATTGGAAAATGTTGGTTCAACACTAGGATGCCTGCGAAGATATCTGTCTGTGTCATGGTTTGCAGGGGCTTGGCTGCAGGTAGCCACTGCAGTGCCATAGTGTTTAGCTGAGCCCCGTGCCAGCAGTCGCTCCCTGCAAGCTCTGGGGAGTGGTAAGCAGCGCTCCTGGGGACTGTAACTGGCATCACAGTTCCTTCCAATTCATGTGAGCAGTACCAGTCTTCTCTCCGCCTGTGCTCCAGGAAGCTGATGAGTAGCTTTGGAGCCGTGTTTTCCTGACACAGACAGGCGAGGGTGTTTGCCATTTCAGGTCACCCCTGCTCTGCTACTGGAGCATTGCCATCTTGCCCAGGACACTGGTGATTTTTTAAACTTTTGGGGCAGGTTGTCCTTGATGGTTGGGCGAAAAATGCATGGCCCAAGGACTGGGGAACAGCATGCTAGACCAGGGCTTCTCCACCTTGGCGCTTTTGACATATTGGACCGCATGATTTTGGTGGGCCGGGGAGAGCTGTCCTGTGCACTGTAGGGTGTTCAGCAGCACCCCTGGCCTCCACCCACTAGATGCCAGTAGCTGACTCTTGGTGTGACAGCCAAAGTCTTTCCAGATACTGCCAGATATACCCCCAGAAACCAAATCATCCCGCATTGGAAATCCCTGCTTTATAGTGTTTGTAGGAGACTCACAATCCCTTTTAGCTCCTGCAGCCATGGACGAGGATGGGGCGCACCCCTGATGAAGGCTCCTAACCTGAAGCAAGAGGAAGAATGAGTGGCAAAGATGGGAGAAATGCAGCAGGCAGATGGACACTTGGAGCCAGGAACCTGCTGTGGGTGCTTCAGGGTCACAGAACATGGGGAAAAGGGATGGTGGGCGAGAAGCTCTCAGGCTTTGGGGTGTTGTGCAAGACTCTCTTCCCTGATAGCTGGGAAGAGCATGTTAGCCAGAGCCTGGCCTCCTCTTTGGAGGGTAGCACTCAAGCCTTCCACCTCCCTCTGCTGGGCCAGCCTTGACCCTGTCAGTAGCTTTAGATCCTCCTAATAAGTATTTTACTTTCCTCCAGACCTTGCAGGGTGAGTTAGGTGAATCCTACCAAGTGGGTTAAGTTCCTTGGAGAAAGTACAGTTCTTTGATCTTCATTCACTAAACAGATATTTATCAAGCACCTACTTGCACAGGGGCTGTGCCTGCCACTACGGAGCCCACGAATCGCATGGTCTGGGTGGGGAGAACAACTCTGCCCATGCGGACAGCCCTGGGAGAAGGAAAAGGGCACGTCTGGCTGTCAGGCTGCCTGGGCCACATACGACCTCTGCTCCTGGCTACTGTGCCTCCTCGGGCCTCAGTGTCCATGTCTGTAAATGGGGCGGTAAGGATTAAGGATTCTTGCCCATGGGGGTGTTGAGAGGATTAAGGGGGAGACTGCACAGCCTGTGGAACCGTACCTGATGTTAGTGAGACCGCCGTGATGTGAATATCATTATTTTCAACGCTTTGTTATTAATACCACTGCATAAGAGTGTAATAGACTTAAAGAGTGTCAAGACAATTTTGAGGGACAAGGATCAGAGAGAATCACAGAAGTGGCTTATTTGACATTTGTCTTAAAGGATTAGTGGGCTGGTGGGAAGATCATGCACTAAGAGGCAGGCCGAAGGAAGGGCAGGCAGGAAGTCACAGATGGGAGCAAGTGGGCTTGCTTATTGGGGGACAGCAGCTGGCTGTGAGGCCCTGGGGCTGAGGGAGGCTGGGAGGCTGGGGAAGAAGGAGGTGAGGGGGCCCTGTGGAGAAGAGCCTTGTGTCGGGGAGCATGGTCTGAATGGGCGCAAGTACCAAAACCCCTTTGACTTGGAGCTGCTTTATTGGTATTTTTCTCCAAAACAGATTCAGAAGAGCTTGCTATTTTAGTCCCATTTCTTTTTCCCAGGCAGTGAAATGCTAGGTGTGCTCTCTGACCTGCCAGTGTTACTGAGCTTTTAGAAACTAACAAGCAATTCCCTCTTGCTGTTCCTGGACCAGATAGGGGGACGCTGCCTCCACTTCACTTCAGAAGTCCTGCAGACAGAGCACAGGCCGCTCTTGTCTAGGCCCCCTTGAGGCTTCCTGGCTCTGTGACCACTCAGGGTGTCGCTGCTCTGCTTCTTGGAGGTCACAGAGGAGCAAGCCAATTGGCACGCCTGCACTTCCCACCTCTTCCTCTGCTCATGCGCGGCCTTGGGGCAGGGCTGGAAACCAACCTGGCAGGCATGGCTAATAACCAGGACATCTGTGCCAAGGAGTGGCAGTGTTTATTTCTCCAGAGCCTGTGGTGGTGTGCCTGTGGCTTTGCTGAGTCAGCCTGGTGCCACCTGGCAACCCCCCCTTGCTGCTGAGACCTCAGTCCCAGTGTACAAGGCCCCTCATGGCTCTGACTTTTGCCTCACTGCTCTCTGAAACGTCATGCTGAGCTGGCACTTACTGAGCACTTGCCAGGCCGAGGGGGTGCGGTTATGAAGGTGGCAGACACCACCCTTGGCTTTGGGAAACTATATCGTCTTGTGTGAATGTCACATTGAATAAACCATTGCAGGTGGTGTGGATAAGGGCTGAGAAACGGGAACATCCAGAGTCATGATGGTGTGAAAGGGGAGATGAACTTAATCTTGGGGGGTGGGGGGTGATGAGGTCAGGAAAGGCCCTGAGAGGAAGTCAGATTCTGCCTGGTACCTGGGAATGGTTGGGTTTGGGGCAGGAAAATGGCAGAGGAGACCTCCATCACTGAGCTGGCCTGGGACGGAGCCCCCTGCACTGCCGTGGGCTGCATCCTTCTCTCTTACTTAAAATTCCCTCCTCCCATCCCCAGTCCTCCTTCTGTCCTTCCTGTCAGACTACTGTTTGGTTGCCTTTATTTTGTTTGGCCTTCCCAGAGGATGGCCTTGCTCTCCAAGGCAGTGGACAGTGGGAAAAAAGACAGGTTTGAAGAAGGCCCAGCCCCTGCTTTACTCCTTAATGGCCATGGAACCTTAGACTAGCCAGTGACTAACCACTCCGTGCATGGGTATCCTGCCTGTAAAAGAGGGTCCCTGTGCCAAGGCATCAGGACTGAGGCCACACCAGTACAGCACTTAGTGTAAGGCCACTGTGAGTCAAGGTTGCAAACCCTTTCCCTTACAGCATCAGACACTGACTTGGTTCTGTTACCTTTCTGTTTTTCCCTGGAAACCTGGTGAAAATCAAATGTCAGGGTATTGCCTGGCCACGGCACTAATGGTAAAGCTGACCTCTGCTTGGTAAATTGCACCTGGACTCAGAGTCCTCTGTCCCACCTCCAAATACCTGAGGAGGGAGCCATGGCTTTGGGCTTCCTGAGTGTGCTGTTTCCCTGCAGACTCTGGAAGCTTTGCTGTGGAACTGTCACAGGAGAAGTTGGTGCCTGTGGGGCCTGGGACCACATAGCCAATCAGCTCACACCTGAATTGACACCTGGGGTGACCTCATCTGTCAGGATTAAGCCCTTCCAGCTCTTAACATTCTGTCAGTTCCTTCATTTAAAAACCTCCCCTGAGAGCCTGTGGTAGGTGCACATTGTTGAACAAAACAGATCCATTCTGTGCCCTGAAGGCATTCCCAGTCCAGCTGGGAGATTCTGTCAATCAACGCATCACACAAATAATAGTAAAAGAGCACTTCGATAATGTGTACATCGTGCTGCGAGAGTGTAGGGGAGATCTGACCTGGTCCGGGAGGGCGGGTAGGGATCTGTGAAGAAGTCATGATGGAGCTGAGATCTGATGGATAAAACAGGCCCCTAACCAAGAGGAGGGGGAGGGAAGATTCCAGAAGGAGAGAACAGCACAGGCAAAGGCTTTGTGGGGCAATGGTGCAAGGTGCAGAAAATGAGGGTATGTAGAGCTATTCCATTCAGGTCTTTAGGGGCAGAGCTGAAAGTCAAATTATTTAGTGACTTGGTGCAGTCCTGGGCTGGTGAGTGAGGGCTGCTGACCAGTCATGCTGGTGTCTTTATTTGGTTTCTTCACAGTAAGAGCAGTGAGAAGTGGGTTAATGCAGCGTGGGGATGCCTCTGGCCAGAGTAGAGGTTGGCTTGATTGAATTTACTGCTTTAAAAGCTGGTTCTGGCTGCGGATGCTAAAATCACATCTGAGATGGGTGAAGTTTGAAGGTACTTTGAGTGAAAAGGGGCTGGTGGAGAAGGAAACCTGGGGAGTGGGCAGACTTTACAAAGCACCAGTGGGGATTCATAGCAGGAGGGGAGAGTTTGACCTTTAATCAGGGGTTGTGGCTGCTTCACTTGGCTTCCCACCTCCCCACCCCTACCCCGTCATTTTTGGCCACCATGACCCCAGACCACCCGTCCATGTTGCCAAACCACAAATTGAAGGAAGGTGGGTGTGGAGCTGTTAACAGGAGATAGATGTTCCTAAGCACATTCCAGCCACCAGCAGAAAACCTTCAGGCATTTGTAAAACTGAATCAAGCCCCACAGCAACATTTTCAGTAGCTTGGAGAACTGTTTCTGTTATTGAAGGCAGACATTTTCCATCAAGTAGGATAGACAAAAATCACACTTCTCTTCTTTTTGTCTCTCTCTTCCTCCAGGCTTATATTTGGCACCCTTTACCCTGCATATTATTCCTACAAGGCTGTAAAATCAAAGGACATTAAAGAATATGTAAGTAGCATTTGTTGGGGGAGCAGATGGTTCAGGGGAGGGCAGGGGGCTGGGTGTGAAGTGGTGGACAAGGAGGTGCCTTTTGGTGTGGGCACTAGAGCCGGGCAGAGGGGTCCCTTCATCACTCTTCGCATGAGGCTTTGTCCCATGTGCCCAGGAGTCCTGTCTCCAGTCTAGACCTCCTCTGTAGAACTAGAGTGTGGAACTGAGGAAAGCGGGGAGATATGGTGAGAGGAAATGGGGTCTGGGATCAGAGGTTGTCCAGGTTGCCACATGGCCACTGTGAGGCCTTGGACAAATGACTTCCCCTCTCTGAGCCTCCATTGTCTTGTCTGGAAAACACTGTATAGACCGTAAAGCAACATTAGTGGGAGACAGTCTGGCATATGGGCGGGAGTGTGGGCCCCGGAGACCAGCAGACTGTGCGGCTGCCGGCTCTGGGACTCAGGCTCTGATTCCCTTCCCAGTTTGTGACCTGAACACCCCATGATGTAAATTCTGGTACTTTATAAACTTTTTGAGGGCAGGGGCTGTGCATCCTTTTCTATTTGTTTCCCATAGCACCTAGCAGAGGGCTGAGCATGTGGGAAGGGAGTCCAGAGTACTTGCCGATTGGTTGGGGGATTTGGTGCCCCAGTCACATGAAGGGACACGTGTGGGATGTGCTGGGCACCTCAAGGCAGGGGAGCCATCACACCACCCCTGACTGACAAAGACCTGTGTGGAGAGGATGGTGAGGAGAGAGTGCCCCGTCCTATGTGGGACAGGAAACCCAGGTCAGAGCACAAAGGATGTGGATTTGGCATCAAGAGACTGAAGTCTGATCCTGGCTCTCCATTTGATTGATGCAATGCTGGACAAGAAGCCTAACTGCTAGGAACCTTGGTTCCCTAACCAGAGTACTGGGGTGGATATCAAAGGTCCCAGCCCCTAGTGTAAGGGACAAAGGGTCTTTGCTCTCCCTCTTTCACTCAGGTGTCACTTGGCAAGTTTGGTACAACTAAAGAAACAAAGCATGTTTGGAAGTCAATATTTTCTTTCTCAGATTTCCCAGGATGTCTTTATGATGAAACCAGCCACCTCCAGACCAAGTGCAATCAGGGCTCACCTCCACTCTCTCAGTTCCCCAGGACCACTGGCCTTGGCCGGCCTTTGCTGCTAAGTAGGGGATCCACACAGGGGTGTATTCTCCTTTGGAGACTGGGTCTCTTCTGTATGTGAGGGAATCTGAGTGTGAGTGAGCTGTAAGTAGCTGTTAAGTTGTAGACACAAAGCCTCATGATTCTTGAATTCTTGGTGCAGGGGTAAAGCCTCTTCCAGGTCTCCTGCTTCCTGGCACCCACAGCCATGGGTGCAGGGAAACCATGCTAGGTAAGGAGCCATAACTGGGGTCACTAGGTTCAAGATCTGACCCTCTGCTTGCAGTGGCAGAAACTCAATTCATTCAGCTGGTCCGGGAGAGGCCAAACCCTGGCAACATGTTTTGCTCTGACTGAAGTCACAGGAGCCTGCTTTATGACTACAATGGCAATTCGTTAATTTTGAGTGAAAACTATAACTGACAGGCACAGCAGCTATTTGTGTTGGCTGGTGAGCACATGCTTTTCCTGCAGGGAAAGGGGGAGTATTAAGTAAAAATGGTATCGAAACAAAGGAGCCAAGTGGTGTTAGGGGAGCCCTGCCTGCTCTTTCCTGACTTGCTCACACACGCACATGCCCTTCTTTCCCTCCTTTTGACCAATGGACCCACTTGTCCGGGAGAGACACCTGGGATTTCCTTCAGCTCCTGCCTCTCGCTCATCACCCAGTCCTACACAGAGCTGGCTGGGGACTCTGTCCCTTCATCTCTGTGCCCTCTCATCATCTTTCAAACCAGGTCTCTCTGCTGCCATGCTCATACCTCAGGTTCCCATCATTTTCCCCTTGAATGTTACGGTAGCCTCCTGTGTTAGTTTCTTACTGCCACTGTGACAAGGTACCACGAACTTAGTGGCCTGAAACAACACAAACATACTAGCTCCCAGTTCTGGAGGTGAGAAGGCCTGTGGGTCTCACGGGCTGGCTCATTTTGTAGGCCCTAGGGGAGAAGCCATTCCCTTGCCTCTTCCAGCTCCTAGAGCCCCCTTACATTCCTCAGCTCATGCCCCTTCCTCCACCTTCAGAGCCAGCAGCGTTGCATCTCTACCATTCTTCCCTGGTCACATTTCACATAGATGGCAGCCTCTTGGTGACAGCCAAGCACATATCCCAAGAAGTCCCTGGTTAAGAAGCTGCTGCTGATGCCATGACTGTGGACAGTGGCTGCCAGTTGCCTGTGCCTTTGGGACGTTCCCTGAAGATTTGAAGTCCTAGATAACAGACTTTGCCTCCCTCAGAGCCCCTCATGCTGGTAGACTCTCCCCAAACTGGAAGGCTTTGATTGCTGGTAGGAAAATATAGATATATCTCTGCCTTCCAGTTACTTCTTTGGCTGCCTAACACCCACATTCACTCCTTCATCCATATTTTGTCTTTTAAAAGAAACCTCCCAACAAGAATTCTGTACAACTCATTTACTTGCCAAATCTGAATTTCTTCAGCTGAGTCCAGCTCCAGGTCTACTACCTAGCAAAGCCCTCACCTCCTCTGGCTCTGACAGGGTCCAACTAATATTCATCACTCCAAAACTTAAACCATCACTGACACACACCATATACCATATTAGGGAGAAAAAGAGAATAAATAAAAATAAAAACAACCAAAATATTTAAATCTATACCTAACAAAGAAAGGAAGAAAACATGGATAGAACATACAGTCATTAGTCATGCAGGTTGTCATGAGTTCATAGCTGGTATTTATGTCTTTTGCTAATTTTTTTTAAGGGTAAAATCATAACTCTTGTACAAATATAAAATTAATGTGTCAAAAATCTTAACACCTCACATCAGTAAGGATGGCCACCATCCAAAAGACAAACAACAACAAATGTTGGCAAGGATGTGGAAAAAAGTGAACCCTCCTACACTGTTGGTGGGAATGTAAATTAGTTTAACCATTGTGGAAAGCAGTATGGAGGTTCCTCAAAAAACTCAAAATAGAAATACCATTTGACCCAGGAATTCCACTTCTAGGAATTTACCCTAAGAATGGAGCAGCCCAGTAGAAAAAGACATATGCACCCCTATGTTTATCGCAGCACTATTTACAATAGCCAAGAAATGGAAGCAACCTAAGTGTCCATCAGTAGATGAATGGATAAAGAAGATGTGGTACATATAAACAATGGAATATTATTCAGCCATAAGAAGAAAATAAATTCTGCCATTTGCTAGAACATGGATGGAGCTAGAGGGTATTATCCTCAGTGAAATAAGCCAGGAGGAAAAAGGCAAGTATCAAATGATTTCACTCATCTGTGGAGTATAAGAACAAAGAAAAAAACTGAAAGAACAAAACAGCAGCAGACTCACAGAACCCAAGACTGGACTGACAGTTACCATAGGGAAAGGGACTGGGGAGGATGGGAGGGAAGGGTGGGACAAGGGGGAAAAAGGGGCCTTACGATTAGTAGACATAATGTAGGGGTGGGGGCACGGGGAGGGCTGTACAACACAGAGAAGACAAGTAGTGATTCTATAGCATCTTACTACGCTGATGGACAGTGACTCTAATAGGGTAGGTGGGGGGAACCTGATGATGGGGGGAGTCTAGTAAACATAATGTTGCTCATGTAATTGTAGATTAATGATAGCAAAAAAAAAATCTTACTTAACTCATTAACTAATGAGGGAACCAGTAAGGTGTTAAAAATAGTTCAAAGGAGACTCCAAACAATAGATTTATTATATAAGCAATCAGGAATGATGAAATGAATTTGTTATTTGATATTTAGCTGATATCTTGGGAGGATGAGGAGAAGAATTTTACCTCCATTCAACCAGATTAATTTGCGTCTCTATGGACAAAATTATTTGCATTGCAATCAGTTTTCTACAGGTCACAAACTTGTAAAGCCCAAAGGTATTGAAAAACAAGACACCTGAATCAAGATAATTGAGAAGGATGTTCTGAACAGCACCCAGCATTCCACAGGACACCCATTACAAAGTTTTTACAGTTTTTCCAACTACTTCCCTCTTTTACCAAAATGTTTTCCCTTTGCCCTGAGTTAGAGCTTTAGTGAGTGGGGTTCCTACTCAGGGGATGTGGTCTCAGTCTTCATTCCAAAGGAATCTGAGACCTTAGTAATCTTGCCTCTTGGGTTATATAGTAACAATTCATTGATTTTTATCTCAGACAAGGCCATACTAGGAGATTTCCCCAGGGGATCCTTAACTTCTGTCCACCCTCTTGCTTGCCACATTGTGGAGCTACAACCCTGGCTCCCCATGATAATCAGTCACTCCATCTAAGCCCCTAGGTTCCTTTATTATTTGTGTCATAGTGGCATGGTGGTCTTGAAATGGCCAAGTAAACAATCTAGTCTCTGCTTCCATTTCACTGGAATCCTTTTGAATCTTTGGTAGAATATCCATCCTTCAGGTACTAAAATTATTAAAATGCAGACCTCAGGTTTGAGGATGAAAAGCAAAAATGTTGTGAGTCAGTTTGACCACAATTCTCAAACTTTAATGTGCATAAATATACAAAGGATTTTATTTACAATGCAGATTCTAATCCATTAGGTCTGGAGTGGGCCCTGAGATTGTACATTTCTAACAAGCTTCTAGGTGATTCCAGTGGTGCTGATCCATGAACCACACTTTGAGTTGCAAGAAGCTAGCATTAGGCTTAATCATAAGAATCATCACCCTTATCTCCTTGGTTCCTGAACTGTTAGATTCTGGCTAAGATGCAGAAGCATATGTTGGTCAGTGGTTCAGAGAAGAAGCTGCATCCTTCAGACCAGATCATCAACTGCACAGAATGCTTCCTGTACCCTGGTTCTCTTCCTGAACTCTCTAGAGCTGATGTAGCATGATGCAAGGCCAGCTGCTTCAGGGCAGGTGTTAGGGACTCTCCAAAGGACCAGCCTATTGTCTTATTCTTTTGCTAGAAAAGAGGGCCTTTGGTTAGAAGTGGTGGATGCATCAAAATGAAAAGGGCCCTTACAGACTCAGCTTGCTATACGGCTGCCAGAAACACGGCAGTAGGAAAAGCAAGTCCACATGCAGAATAAATGGATATTCCAGAAAAAACTCTATGCTGCCCTTACTGTGAGAGAAGGGGTTCATCCCAGGAGGTTGGTTGATGCCTTAAGATATACTACCATCCTGGAGATCTTGATCCCCACTGCTGGCACCTTGGCCTCTGGGCAGTGGCCAGGTCAGCTGTGGGGAGAGAGATTCAGCATTTCAAAGCCCACATGATACCCCTGCTGCTTTGACACGGCCACTGGTACAGGAGCCAATTGAATCGGCACTATTGTCCTGAAGAAAGAGGCTAGCTAGCATCCACTTGATTACCAAGAGCCTCCTCTGCCACAGGAACTTTTACAGTGAGCCTTAGCACAAGACACACACATCTGGATTCTGCAGACCCATTCACATCTTTCCCAAGCCACCTCTACACAGTCTTTTAGTCTTGTCCTTCCAGGTACCTCATCATCTATCCAACCCTTACCTGGTGTTTTAAAATGCCCCCAGGATTGGTTTTAATCAGATATTGTAAGGCATGCAAGCACAGAAGTGACTGTCACTGAGAAGAAGTTTCTACTCATTCCCTAGATGTAGGAGGCACAGCACGCCATTTGGGGCCAGATGGGGAAGCACCAGGGTCTGTGAGGAGCCAGAGGGAGAGCAACAACCTTTATTCTGGTTTCTGTAGGAAAGTCAAAGTAAGGCAGAGTAAGCAGATTTAGGATTGGCTAGTTTGAATAATTATAGCAGCCTCTGGGGTGCTGGGACCACCCTTGGTTGTTCAGGGCCTGGTCCTGAGGTGGTTAGGGCTGGAGTATATTGGGTTAACCTGTGAGAGCTCCATGAAGTAGGTAGTTTGGAGTATGGACTCTGCATGGGACAGTTTACATACAGAGGAGTGCTCAGAGCAAGTCTTTTGCTATTTCTAAAAATTAGGTAGTCCTGGAGGGGCTGTCTCTCCTCAGTGAGGCCCCAGACGCCAGAGCATTCAAGAATACAGAAAGTAGGAAAATAGAGGTAATGCACCTGGTGACAATATGAACACATTATCTCAGGACACTTACTTGCAGGCTAAGTGCACTGCTTAGAGTTCTGTCTGCAGGGGAATTTCCCTTCCCCACTCTCTCAGGGCTCCCTCCCTGGTTATAAAGCTGTCCATTGTGAGCCTGAGCCAACAGACAGTGCAGTCTTCTGTAAACCAGGCTCAAACTCAGCCATTTAACATAGCCTGTGAGGCTGAAGCAGGGACCAGATGCAAGAGGGAGTGTGAAAGGCTCAAAAAATATTAGTGCAAATGGTGCAGTGAAGGGTCCAAAGGAGGAGTGAGGCTGAACATTCTACCTCCCAGCCCGTAAGGGAGGGGGCAGAGTCTGATGGACCATGAGGTCTCAGTCTGCCTCTGGTTCTTGGGAGGTCCCTGGGCTCTGCTTGCCACCCTCTTGCTGTGGCCTAGGGTCCCAGCATCTCTCCAGCTGTATCATCATGGTCTATCCTGGTGTGTTTCCCATATTTCAAGAGTTGAATCCTTTCCAGTTTCTGCCAGCCTTTGATAATTTTCTATCACCTTCAAACAGTTCTTTTTAAGTATTTTGTTCAGAGCTTATTATCATTATTGGCAGGAGAGGTAGTCCAACACAAACTACTCCACCATTACCAAAAGCCAGAGGGAGCAGACTGAGGAATTTGGACTTTATTCTTAAGGGTGGAAGGTTTTAAACTGGCGAGTAGCCTGGTGAGTTCATGCTTTTTGGGAGATCAGTGTGGGAGTGGTTTGTAGGACAGGCTGGTGAGGGGAGAGCCAAGAGACAAGGGGAGCAGTCAGGAGACACTTACAGCAGTGCGGTAGAGGTCGTGGAAATGGAAAGGATAGTCCCACGGGTGCATTCTTTTTTTTTTTTTAAGATTTGGTTTCTGTGAGGTTTGGGGCTTTCCCACAGGGAAGGGTTCTTACACTTAAGATCCTAGTGAGGATTACCACCATTCCATCCCAAGAGTCTGGCCTGGTTAAAGTTCATGCCAGGGTGTGTCTCTGTGAAGGCCTGGAGAGTTTACTCACCTAGAGTTAGTCTTGGAAAAAGGACCTGACTGAATCCTGGGTCACTCCTGGCTCACCAGAGGGCTACTGAAGGTCACCCAGGGTCTACTCTGACCTTGAGCCTGGATCAGTTGTGGACACAGCCTGTTTGCCTCCAGCCCTAAGGTCTCCAGTGTAAGTGGATACAAGCTGGGAAAGGAGAGGCAGATGGGATTATGCATGTGGATACAGCTGCCTGGACATGCTTCAGCATCCACCATCTGGGCCTGTTCCTGATGCTGGGCAGCCGTTTATCCTTGACTTTTCCTGCTAGCTCTGTTACCTTCTCTTTTGACAGGTCAAATGGATGATGTACTGGATTATATTTGCACTTTTCACCACAGCAGAAACATTCACCGACATCTTCCTTTGTTGGTAAGTGCTCTGAAACTTGGGGCTTTTCAAAGGAAGTGGTTGCTTAGTGTCAGTAGAGAGGTGGGAAAGATGCAGACGCAATCTAACCCGTACATCAGAACAGAGACACAGGTGCAGGGATGTTCACGAACATTTTTAATGAATTAGTCTATAAAGTTGTTCTTCAGTAAATATTTATTGAATGACCTTTTAAGAGCAGGTATTGTTCCTCTAATGCTGTAACAGTGGGCAAGGTAAATGGTTCCTCAATTGATGGAGTTGGTAAAGAAGCATTCATATGTTTAAAAAAAAAAGTGGAAGAAATGAAACAGTGCCCAATATGTGCAGTAAAACTAAGTTTCCCATCCACAACATTCACTCTTATCATCATTACTATTCATAGTTGTATGTACTTTGAAAAATTTTTTGAAATTTTTTCTTTTAATAATAGTATCATATAATACATAACAGTTCTTACTTTATTTATTAAGTTTAGTTTTGAAATACTTTCATGTAATTATAAATAGATCTACCTATTTTTTAATAGCCATATAGAATTTCATGGCATATATGGACCATAATTTATTTAATCCTTTGTAGGGACGATTTTTTTTCTCTTTTAAACAATGCAACTATTAACAGCCAGCTATGGAGCAAGTAAAAATAAACTAGGTCTATGTATTGATATATTGTTTCTTCTTAGGTGAAAAAGGCTGTCAGTATTTATATTTAAAGGGCTTGAGTTTATCTGTGCGCAGGTATGCTAAAAGTAGTGTGGAAAATACCCATCAGTTAACTGGGACCATGGGATTGTTTTTGCATTTGCTGTGTTGTATGAATGTTTTGCATGACCAAATACCATCAAAGAAAATAATATACATATTTCCATTTCTGAGAAAGAAATCCTTACCCAAAAAAGGATCAGTGTGAACTTACCCTCTGGGATGTCCTAGGCCAAAGGCCAGACCTGAACACCATGTCTCCAATCCTGTTTTGGGTCAATGGCCTTAATGACTTTAGTATTTCCACTGAAGGAGCCTGGCTTTCGTCCCTCCTGGGAAAAGATGTCTCAGCTATTGTGGCCTCGAGCTGTAGGGAAGGAATCTGGATTACCTAATTTTAATATGCTTGTGCCATCCTGCACTGCCCTGGCCCAGAGAAACAACAGACTCAGGATGGGGCTGGGTCTCCAGGAATGGAGAAGGAACTCTGCTGAGCCATCTTTTGTCTTCCTCCGGCCCCAGGGACTGGCACTAGGAGTCAGACCCCATATTGTGCAGAGCTGCCTTGGGACACTCCTGTCTGTCCCATGGGGATGAGGGTAACAGGCCACGCCCAGTGAGAATGTGTAGTCGATTAAACATCATGGCCAGCCCCTCACGTCCTCTAGTCTTCCCTCCCTCTTAACAATGTCCTCTGTCTGATGCTGGGTGGCCTCCTCATCTCCTCCTATTCCTTCTCGTGAAAATCACAGGTGAATAGTAATAGCTCTTTCCCAGGGGTATCAGCAGTTCAGTCTTGTTGCTTTTGGCTAAGTGGAAACCCTGTCTGTTGATGGATGTGCCCTCCCTCGTAGCTGGAATATGTTCTTATCCACGGCCCTGGAATTTTACAGTTTCATGCCTAACGGGTGCTCAACAGCTATATCTAGAGTTGATTTGATTTTGATTTGGGGAGGTGTATTAGTTTTCTATTGCTGCCATAACAAACTCTCATGTATTTAGTGACCTCAAACAACAGAAAATTAATATTTCAGTTCCTGTGAGTCAGAAGTCCAGGTAGCATCAACTGAGTGCTCTGCTCACAAGGCCAAACACAGGGTGCGGGGCAATCTGGACTCTAATCTGGAGGCTCTGGGGAGATTCCACTTCCAGGCCACTCAGGTTGTTGCCAGAATTCAGTTCCTGTGGCTGTAAGACTGAAGTCCCCTTTTCCTTAACACGCACCAGTCTCTTTCAGCTTCAGGCCAACATCGGCATGTCCAGTCCTTCTCATGCTTTGAATCTCTGTCTTCTGCTACCAGCCAGAGAAAGATCTTTGCTTTTATTTTTGTGAGGTCATTTATCTAGATTAGGCCTATCCCAGGGAGCTAATATCATCTCCTTATCTTAAAGTCAGCTGATTTATAATCTTAATTACATCTGCAAAATCCCTCTTGCCTTGGTAAGAGAATATATTTTTGAGAGTAACTCCAAGATGAGGTCATGGGACCAGAACTCTGCCACCACAGGAGGGCATGTGACACCTGGTGTATTTGGAGCATGTGTGCAAGTATGGACAGGCGCCCCCTCTGTTGTTGATCCATTTGGAGGCCTCACCTGGCTCCCCTTGGCTTGAGCTGTCCAGGTGGCTTATTGGTGGGAAGTGAGGGTCCCTTGCCCCTCACTTGGTGCTCTGAGCCCCACTTCTGATGTGAAGGGCTTGGGAACCCTATTTGTCTTCTTTAGCCTATTGCCTGGCCCTGCCCTCAGCCTGCTTTCTCTTTTCCTACCAACTTCCGGGGATTAGAGAGCATGGTCTTCTTCTGGGAGAGCCCTCCCTTCCCCTCCTCCCTCTTTCCCTGGGGTGGCATAGGACAGGTCCATCAGACAGACAGAGCCCTGTTTTCCTCACAGGGACGTGGACCCCAGCTCAGCAGCAATGAGCTCTCTTCACAAGAAAAAAGAGAGGGCAACTTTTGTCCTTCCTGGGAGTACCAGCTGGCTTCCTGGGAGCATCTTTAACTTCCATTCACTTCCAGGAGTGGAGACAGCCTCTCCTATATATAGTCTTTCCTTCACTCTTCACTTACCCCTGTTGCCCTCTTCCTACTCCTCTCTGGGGGAAGTTCCCTCTTCATAGTTAACTTTTTAAAAAAAATGTCCTGTCTTGATGAAAACAGCAATTGTATATGGTCAGTATGGTCACAGAAGAGAGAGCACGGTGGCTCTTTTATAATTTTTGTAGGTGATTTTATTTTAGTTTTCTAAAAATTATAAAATGCTTCATGCACATGGCAACATGAAATCAAAACAATACACCAAAAAGTCAGCCTCTCCTCCCCCAAGCCCTCAGTCCCCCTCTCCAGAAATACCATTGCTAAAAGTTACTTGTATTTTCTTTCAGAAAATTTCTATATGCATTCATTGCATGTATTTTTGACAGCGTCATCACTTGTCCAGTCATCTTAGAAAGCATTTACACCTCCTGGAGTGTGAAGGTGTTACGTTGGAAGGGTGAGGAGATCACAGTGGTCCCATGCCCTCCAGTGCTGGGCATATGCCTCAGAAGCTATGCAGGAAATGTGTGGATGCATCTGGCCCTTTTTTTTCAAATACATCATAAGTCAGGATGACTCCATGGGCTTATCATCATAGAATGAGCAGGGTCTACCACAGGAACAAGGTGAAGTCTGGGATGGTAGTAGGTCAGCCGGAAGCTGACTTGGTTGGGGGTCATTGTGTTGGTAGAGCCAGGAGGCCCCAAGGCCTTGGGGAAGCACAGAGTCTGAGTGACTCAACCTGGAGACCCTTATGATACCTGACAAGGATCTGGCCCTAATGTGACAATTCCAGAGCCAGTTTGAGATAATACCTAAAGTATACTGCTAATGGGTGGGTGAAGCAAGGTGTAGGAGAGTGGGTATAGAATGGTGCTTGGTGTGTAGGGCATTCTAAGGGAGTCATATATTCATTCCCATGTGATTTTATATCAGTCCTAGTCTACTTCTGGAAGGATATGCCAGAAACTGATAATGTTTTTGCTTTTGGAAAAGGGCTTGGGGTCTGAATGGGAAAGAAACTCTTTATTGCCTACTCTTGGACATTTAGAAGTTTTGCAACTATTACATTGCACATAATACTATTTAAAAAACATGTCCATAATAAACAAAAAAGCCGCAGTGTGGCAGGTCCCCTTGGGATTATCTGTGTATCTTGTGTCAACGCCTGAGCTTGCTGGACTCATTTGCTTTCCCTTGGGGCTGGCAAGTACTTGTTTTCAAGACAAAACTCCCTCCATTGTTAATCACTAGGGGCTTCAAGTGTAGTAGAATCACGCTTCTGCTCTTTAAGCTCCATTTCTGTTTTTGGCTGTGAAACACAAACAATCTTGACATGAAAGTGTCCTCTATTTGCTGAGGAATGCTCAGGAAAAGGCTGCCAGGAGCAGAAGGCAGCAGATCAGGAGACCTTGATAAGGACAGGAGTGGGCATCACTGCTGGTTTGTGGGTCTGTGTGAGGGTTAAAAGGCTCAGAAATGAAATTGCCCTTTATTTTTGGCTCTCTTATCAGAGAGGAATTTTCTTTTCTGATTCCTCAGACTAGTACAGGGTCATTTTCCCTCAGAGCATCATGTTTTAAGGGTATCCAAGATTTGTTTTAATCAGATATGCTAAGACACAGAGACACAGAAATGGCTGTCGTGAAGGCAGGTGTTTGTTATATTCACTGATCCCTGGAAACAGGAGGCAGGGCATGCTGCGAGGTCTGTCAAGAGACAGAGGTAGGAAGTGTGGGCAAGAGCCTTGTTTTGTAGTTTGCATGGAAGAGACAGACAAGGTAGGATAAACAGGCTCAGGGCTGGCTAGTCTGAATGGATCTGGAGTGCGTCTCTTTCCCATTCAGACCCCCAAGCCCTTTGCGAAAAGCAGAAACATTATCAGTACCCTAGTTGCCTGGTACTGGCCCTGGGGTGATTAGAGTAGGTGGATCCTGCCCTGGAGTGTGAGAGCTCGAGGTAAAGGAGGTGGTTAGGGTTCTGGGCTTAGGATTGGCTGGTTTGTATATGAAAGGCTTGCTTGCAGGGAGCTGCTCACTGTCTTCAGGAACTGGCTAATCCTGGGAGGGGCAGACTTTCCAGAGTCAGCAAGACCCCAAGATGTCAAAGCATCAGAAAACAGAAAATTAAAAGACATGGTTAATACCCATCAGGACAGCCAAATATGGTTGCACAGGTTGTTCATAGCATAAGACATATGGCCAAGAAGGTGAGTGGGGCTGAAATTCAGGTGAAACACAGTTTGCAAGCCATGTGCCCGCATCCTGTGGAAAGGGCCAGCCTTTTCTGTACAGACAGAGGCACCGTGTGGGCTAGCAAAGGCTTGTTATGACGCTTGTTTCAGGTTGCTCTGATACACCGTTTGTGATCATTTGCTCCGTCTCTGTTTCCCTGACTGGACCATCAGTGCCAAGGAATCCAGAATCTTGTCTGTGCTTCCCACTAGGCTGGACGCTCCAGGAGAGCAGGGATCAGGTCCTTGCTTCCTGTTGCTTCCTTGGTGCTCAGCGCAAGCTGCCACACAGAGGGGCTGGGTAAGGGTTTAGGGGATGAGTGAAACAGATGGTTTGCAGAACTAGAAACGGCATCCTGAACACTTCTCTTTCGGCACTAAAAAGACCAAGGTCTATTTGCCTCCTGTTGACCTGAGTAGGGTTAGCCCCACCCTCTGTCCTGGCAGAGGTGGGCTCCTGTCCCTACCTCTTTGGGGACCAAGCAGACAGCCAAGAAAAAGCCTTTATTCTCTGTTTGGAGATTCTACTGTAAATCCTTCAGGTATTTCTGGCTTCTTGGCCAGAAAGAAATGAGTGAAAAGTGATAGCTGGGTGTTGGAGCCCAGCTCCAACCTAAATGAACGGACCCAGGCAGGAAGTGCCAGCTGTTGCCAAACATGGCTGCAGGGTGATTATCTAGGAAGAATCTGGGTTCCTGCCTTGCTTTGGCAACAAAAGAAAATCCAAATCCGCTTTCAGAAGAGGACTTGGGCTTGCACTGCGTATGTCCACACCTTCACGGGTGGAGGAAGGAGGAATCTAGGGGCTTGCAACCTTGTGCAGTCAGGAGAGGTGACTGTGCCCACCAGGCCTTGGCTCGGCTTGTCCTTCACAGGCCAAAGGCACTGATGCTGAGAACCTAACAGAATGTGTATTTTCTCGTTCTCTCTAGGTTTCCATTCTATTATGAACTAAAAATAGCATTTGTAGCCTGGCTGCTGTCTCCCTACACAAAAGGCTCCAGCCTCCTGTACAGGAAGTTTGTACATCCCACGCTGTCTTCAAAAGAAAAGGTAATTTATGCTGCTCTTCCTGTCATTCCTTCCAGCAAATGAAAAATTTTGAAAGTGGTAAGTAAAAAGGGTACTGTTTATTGCAGGAAACCCTCAATTGGCTCTAGTTGCCAGTGAGTTCTTTCTAATCTCTTTTGTTTTAATCTATTTTTCTGACATGTTTGGAAACAGTGGTGAAATTCTCAAAAAATAATGTTATTTGTCATTATTAATTGTAAAACCTTCTCTTAAACTGAAACAAAAGACAGAAAAGATCCACTCATAATTCAACTCCCCACGCTGAATTTCCTTCCTTTTATCAGGTTCAGATCTTATCCTTTTACAGATATGGTTTTTACATACACTATTAAAAAATACTTTTATAACTTAATATAGATAAGAAAACTGAAGCATAGGAAGATTAAATGATTGGGACTTGCACCCAGATAGCCATTAAGAAAGACTGGAATGTAAGAAAATTCTAGTATAATGCTTGCATTATTGTTCAGTGATAAAATGTATGCTACTAATGAAATAGCTCCTATTTTGGTGTTACCAGTTGATAAGTAGGTAAATATTAGAAAATAGTCATAATCATTTGTTCTGCTTCAAAATACTTTACAAACATCCTTGAAATAAAAATATAAATTTGTCTATCCCTAATTCAGAGGAACTCACCTTTGCCTTGTGATATGATGCTGGATGACTTCTCATTTCTACTTTTATTTCATTATCTGTAAAACGATCTCCCTTATCAACAAAATAACACCTCTCTGTATCTGTGTCCTAATGCCTCCCGTCAGTATAGACCTGGGGAGGTTTTTGGATGTAGTGTGAAATAGCTGCAGAGTAATCTAACTTTAGAGCTGAAAGGGCCTGACCCCCTTGAGGTAAGGAACTTGACAATAGTTCTTGTTTATTGAAATGGTCACTCTGTTAGGTGCTTTCCTGGAATGATCTCATGTAATCCTCATGGTGCCCCATGAGTTAGGTACTATCACTGTCTTCCGTTTCAGAAGACAAAACCATGTGGACGCTAAGCAGTTGCCAGGGTCTGACAGCCAGTCAGTGGCAGGTCTGAGGTTAGACACTTGATTCTTGGCATTCTGTCCGCCCCAGCTTCCTTCAGTATCTTATGCATTGGCTGTATGTAGAATGGCAGGATTATTCACATCCAGGACCCCCTACAGCTTTCCTAGAAGGTTAGAGGACTTTAGGGACAGTAAGGTGTTGCTCAAAGAAAACCTGTGTGGGTGAGTAAGTTGCGGTTTTTTCAAAATTCCTTTTTCTATTCCCTCGTATCCTTTCTGTCTCTCTCCCTCCTCCTATGTACACATACACCGCCCCCACCAAAGTGCCTATGACTTTTCAGTCCCAGTGAAAATTAGTGATTGGACAACCTGCCAAACCCAGCACTCAGGAGCGAGAGAAAACAGAGATTTCTGTGAACCTCCAAAATCAATGTGCCTCTGCTTTTCCTTTGACAGGAAATCGATGATTGCCTGGTCCAAGCAAAAGACCGAAGTTATGATGCCNCTTAGGGTAAATTCCTAGGAGTAGAATTCCTGGGTCAAATGGTATTTCTACTTTTAGTTTTTTGAGGAACCTCCATACTGCTTTCCACAATTGAACTAGTTTACATTCCCACCAGCAGTGTAGGAGGGTTCCCCTTTCTCTGCATCCTCACCAGCGTTTGTTGTTCCTAGTCTTTCCAATGTTGTCCATCCTAACTGGTGTGGGGTGATATCTCATTGTGGTTTTAATTTGCATTTCCCTGATAATTAGCGATGTAGAGCATCTTTTCATGTGCCTATTGGCCATCTGAATTTCTTCTTTGGAGAAGTGTCTGTTCATATTCTCTACCCATTTTTTAATTGGGTTATTTGCTTTTTGCGTGTTGAGGCATGTGAGTTCTTTATATATTCTGGATGTTAACCCCTTTTCAGATATGTCATTTACAAATATATTCTCCCATACTGTAGGATGCCTTTTTGTTCTGCTGATGGTGTCCTTTGGATAACTTCTATTTTTATGCACACCAGTCTATGTAAACTTTCTTAAAAATAAAATTTTTAAGTGCACCAAAAACTCCCAAACCCAATCAACAAAAAAACATACATACAATATTTGTAGTCTGAGGTCTTAAACATGTTTGCACACAACCATTTCTCTTTGGTCTTCTTAATGATCTGTGAATACAACAAGACCCGGAGTTTAATTCTGTCTTATGACTTACTCAGAACAAATTCCTAAGAATGGGATTAGTAGGCCAATCATTTGATTCATGAATTTTATTATATGGCTTTCTAAACTGGTCGTGTGATAGGGTTCTTTAACATAAAATAGGAGCACTGTTGAGTGGCTTTATATATTCATTTCTGTTGGTTCTGAAAGTGGAATTCTTTGGACTTCGATGGGAAGGCTTTGGGGGAGCATATTCCTTGGATGAGCAGACTACTGTAGACATCTCTGAGGATCCTTTTAGGAAAGAGGACACAACACTTCCTGTCTCAGAATGGTGGATTCTGAGGAATGGCAATCTCCCTTTTGACCTGTTATCAAATCCATACTCTTCCTACTTCCCTCTCCCCAGATGCTGGGCTTCCCGGGAAGCTGCCAGTGTAACTTCCATTGAAGTGAAGGTGACTGACTCTGAGGAGCAGCCAAGAATATAAACTTGCTGTGGTGACTTCCTGGGGAAGCCCTAACTAAGGCATGAACAGGGGCTGGCTGCCCCAGCTGTCTGTGTACCTCAAAGCAAAGGAAATGCACTGATGTGCTGAACTGCAGACAAAGCTGAGGCCAAATGTCATTCTTCCCGAACTCTGCAGTGAGCTGCCGTGATAGCAAAACAATGAAGCAATCCAAGCCAAACTGAGTAAGCCCAAGTTGAGGCAAATTTGAATTAAGCCAATATTTTACTGGGTTTTAGTCCCTGAAAGAGACTTCAGTCCTTTGTTCAGTGATAAAATGTATGCTACTAATGAAATAGCTTCTATTTTGGTGTTACCAGTTGATAAGTAGGTAAATATTAGAAAATAGTCATAATCATTTGTTCTGCTTCAAAATACTTTACAAACATCCTTGAAANCATTAGGAACATTTCTGGGAGAAAGATTTAGCACCAGGGGGCTGAGTGTTTGTTTAAAAAGCACCTTCTGCTTGAAGTCAAGGACTTCTGCAGAGAGAGGCTGGGAGAGTGGAGAACCAAAAAGAAAGGATCCCTAATTCAGAGGACCAGCTCCCAGAACAGAGCTGTAGTACAGAGTGCCACTGCTCCTTATGGCTGTACCTGGAGGCTCCTGCCCTCCATGGTGAAATAGTTGCTGGCTATGTGATGGATCCCAAAGAGTATCTTTGGAGGAGAAATTCTACTTTGATATCCCAAAGAGATGTATTAGATTATACAAAAAGCAGTGAATTCCAAGATCCTTCTGTTTGAGATACAACTATTTTTTTGCTTTTCTATTTTTAAGCTGAAAGAAAAGCTGCTAAATTCTTAATTCATCAGGCCAACTTTGCAACATAAAACTACAGGAGCCTTCTCGGTCCCTCTCCCCACCCCATCTCCTCTGCTTCTGAAGCCTGAAGGAGGATGGATTACTGCTCTCCTCAGCCCAGTCATGGAGCATAAATGTGGTATATTTCTCAGGGTGGTTCAGTACCAGTCACCCGGCCACCCGGCCCCACGTGTATACATTTTATTCTGACGGTAATTCTATAGGGCCATCCTTTTCCAGGTCTGCCTCCAGAGTCTTGATCCCCTCTTGGCCAGCCAGTGCCAGCCCCTCAGACCACCCGGGAAGCCCCCCACCGGGCACCTCACAACAGCTACCCTGAGCGACGCTCCAGACAGTCTGAAACTTGCCTCAGGAAATAACTGCATATTAGTTCTTCCTAGTTGGACAGAAGGAGTGAGGGATGCCTACTAACTGCTGAATTTGGTTTCAGATGAGAAAATGTTTTGCCTTTTGGGGATTTTGCTTTTCCTCTCTGAATATAAATATCATGAGAGGGAAACCATCTTCTCTTCCAAATATAATGACCTCTATTTTTGAAACAGATGTATACTTAAAAAAAAAAGAAAAAAAAATGAAGTAAAAGCCAGCCTTGCTGGAGGGTAAGTCTGGTTCCCACAGCAACAGTGAATCACTCCAGGCAGGGGTCAAAGGTCGATGACTCATCAGCGGGTCCAAATCTGGCTTTGATGTCCAAACCACCTGGGAAGCTTTGTTTTTTATTTTTTAATAGATTCTCAGATGTACTGATTCAGAATCTCAGGCAGTGGGCCCATGAGTCTGTATTTTTAACGAGTTTCCCCAGATGACTTTTAAACAGCCAGATTTGTACGGGTCACTGCCTGAGGCCCATCCGGAGCCATGAGCACGCAGGTGATTTCTTTAATATTCCTGGGATGCAGATTTAGCTCCTTGGGAGCACTGACCTTGAGAATAAGAAAGCAGGCTCTTTTCATGTGTGTGAATCTTACTTTCCTCAAAACTTAAAAGCCAGTTGGGAAATCTTATGGTGAGAATATGAAATCTTCTGCCCCTCTCGTCATTCTCCAACAAGCCTAACACAGTGCACTGCACCCAGCTGAGCCCTGCACAACAATCTTGCTAATGACCCCAGGGGAAGGATAGCAATTTTGTGAAAAAGACACCCTGCCAAGTCACCCATGGCGAAGGTGACAGTATAAATGTGAAAGGGGTGCTAGAATAATTAGGCCAGGACAGCAGGTATAAACTAGGTGTGTCCCAAGCAGACAGGGATTTATGGTCACCCTACTCATGGCTCTAGTTTGCATCCCGGGGACCCTGCCTCTCTCCTCCCAGAAAACACCTTTGACTCACAAATCAGTTCTCACTCTACATACCTACTATGTTCAGCCACATGGGTGCAAGGTAACTGAAGACTCTCATAGTTCAGAAAGATTAAATGGAAGCAGGGATCATGTGACTGAATGAGGGAGCCTCACTCCTCTCCCCATCTTCTGCTGTGTGTTTGATGGTTCCTGTCTTGCCAATGGGTTTCAGCCCCGGACAAGTTCACTATGGATTCAGTGAGACCAAAAAATGACAATGGAACGTCCTTAAGGTGAAAGCATTTATCCCCAACTTTATTTTCATAGTGGCAGGTCAATCACTAGAGTCCTGTCCACTCAGAGTGAGTCTACATGCAGCAAGCCGATCTCTGCCTCTGGAACTCTCTGCCCCCGCAGCCATCTCAGTCTCTGTCCTCAGCGCTGCCACCTCTCAAGTCTCTGCTCTCCTGCAGCCTTGTAGCCCTGCAGCTGTAAGCAGCCCAGAGCACTGGGCAGAGCCCTTTCTATAAAGTCAATAGCAATGTATTGCCCACATGTGTGTAGTTAGCTAGCCGACCAGGGCCGGGTGAGAATCTTGGCCACAGGAACCTTCACTTTATCCACGCTCCACCCATCCAGGATTCTCGCCTCTCAATCTATGTGCCCTCAATCCTGTGTAATTGTCCCTGTTTGAGGAAGCTGGGACATTGCAATCAAATTCCATAATAACATAATAACAACAAAAGCTATGATAATATACAAATAACAAAAATTAAGACAAATTATAATAACCCTCAAGCCTGAGGAGATCCATTGCCACCAGTGGTCATTCTTGCTATGTTCAAACCAGTTCTACTCAAATGAGTTAACCAAAAGGACCATGGGTGGACCTTATAATACCCACCTTTCCAGCCTCTCCAGCAGAAAGTCTTGCAGACACACAGGTCGATCTTGTTTCTTTGTCTCTGGCTTCTGCTTCATCATCCTCAGCTGCTGGAACCTTTATTCTGGTTTCAGTTGTTGCCACAGCTCCAATAAGTTCTGTTTGACTTTCCATCCAATTTCTTTCTGTCTGCTCCTGCCTTTATCAAATCAACCCACATCTGGGTCCTCGTAACCTTCACAGGGCCCTTTAAATTCTTCCTTTGAGTAGCAGACCGTATTTCCTTTTGTGCTTTCATTGCTTGAGCCTGAGGATAGGAGCAGAGCACAGAGTGCTCCACAACCTGGGGAGGGGGCTGCACCTCTTCTGGAGGAACCTGCGGTTGCTGAGTCTTTATTTTCTTTCGGGCTTTCCACCAACTTTCAACCGGGTGGGGTTTCAACCGAGGAGGGGCCTATGCCTCCAGCACCAGTAGGGCCTTCACCCCCACCTGTTCATCAAGCCTCCGCCCCTCCAGTTCTGGGGCTGATGGCTCCACTACATCCTTCACCTGCCCCACGGCACCTGGCAGCCTGCACTCTCGTGCCGCTGCTTCTCGGGCCACTGCTCCTTCTCATGCTGCTTCTTCTCGGGCTACCACAACATCCTTTACCATTTCCACAGCACCTCATAGTGACACCATTCCAGTCAGCAACAGCTTTTTGCCTCATCAACAGCACCTCGCAGCTCACGTTCTCGTGCTGCCACTTCTCGTGCTTCCTGCAGGAGGACATCTTTTTCCCTATGGCCTTCCTCAGTACTGTGAGAAGAAAACTCCCTACCAATCCTGCCACCTCATGGGCACTCTGTTTCTCTAAGGAATTCCCTATTTTGCTGAGGGCCAACTTTACTGCCTTAGGGGTGACCTCCACCCCTTCCCAGTCTTGCAGTGGGGCCCAGTCCTTTAGGAAGCAAGCCATGTTGGACCACATATCTACTGGGGGACACTCAAATGTCTCCCCATCCATAGGGGCAACCCGCTGAAGCACCCCTCCCATAAGAGCAGCCTGTTCTGTTCCTTGGTCAACAATGAATCCTGCCAACTATGCCAACTGTCTTGCCAATGGGTTTCAGCCCCGGACAAGCTCACTATGGATTCAGTGAGACCAAAAAATGACAATGAGACATTCTTGGGGTGAAAGGGTTTATACCCAATTTTATTCCTACTGTGGCAGCTAGAATCCTGTCCACTCAGAGAGAGTGCACACAGCAAGCTGATCTCTGCCTCTAGGCCTCTCTGCCCCTGCAGCTGTCTCAGTCTCTGTCCTTGGCACTGCCACCACTCCAATCTCTGCTCTCCTGCAGCTGTGCAGCCCTGCAGCCATGTCACTATATTGCCCAAGCACTGGGTGGAACTCTTTATATAGAGTCAATGGCAACGTATTGCCCACACATGTAGTGAGCTAGCCTACCAGGGCCAGGTGTTTTCTTTCTAGCAAAAAACTACTTGTTTACGGTTCATCAGGGGGGCAGGTATTGATTTTCTTTTCAGAAAACCTCCCTCTATGAACTCATGCATAAAAGGTGTTTCCAAGGAAGAAGAAGAGACTACTGTCCCCTCTAGATCCCTGTGTCTTATTTCTCTGACTTCACACTCTCATTTCTGCTCAATCCAAGTGGCCAAGGTCTCCAACAAGCCTCATGCTGTCTCCTTACCCCTGAGAGGAACATTTCCCAACCACTGTGCTAGCTTACATTGCATTAGCCTTTTTCTTCTGTTTTAACCAAGGACTGTGTGATGTTTAGAATTCACTATGGCAACCCATTTTAAACACCAAAGTTATCTAAACTGTTATGGGCAACCTGCTGAAAAAGTTTGGAACTATTCCCCATGTACTAGTCTCCCAAACAAATCAGCTTGCATCCAGGCTTAGCTTTACAAAACATGTTGAAGCAAAACCAAGCAAGACTCTTGACCAGTGTGGCTCTACCACACTTGCTTTGTCATTCAACGCCCCATTATCCTGGGTTCCTTTCTTCCAATGTGTTTCCCTGCAATGTTACCTCACCTCACTGTACACGGTGGATGGTCAGGAGGATTAAAGCAAACAAAAGACCCAGCATCACAAGTCAGCTGAAGAGGAAGTCAAGTTGCTGGTCTGGTGTGACATGGCCTTCTCTGTTCCAAGTGTAGCTGTGGAGTTATATGTAGCCAGATGCATCAAGGGCCCAAGTGGAAAGAGAGACGCTCAGCCTCCTGCCTGACCTCTGAGAAGAGCCTGGTGGAACCTAGGAGGTGTGAGAGGGCCTCTTTAGCACTTGAAGGGGAAGGCCTGTTTGGCTGTGCTGATACAGCACATTCTTGACCACCTCCTCCTCCCTGACTCCTCTCTCCTGCTTGCTCCCTCAGTGTTGAGTGGGCCCTGCTTTGCTCTCCTTTCCCTCCCAGGGGCATCTCATCCTCTTCCTCACCTTTGGCTGTTACCTGATGCACCTGGTTCCCAGGTGGACTTCTCTGCCCAGGCCTCAAGTCCAGTGTTTCTGATTCTCTACTGAACTTGTCCTCCCCTTGTCTCCTCAGTACCATTAGTCAGCATCTTCCTGATGGTAATGCAGTCACCATCCTCCCTGGCCCCCAAGGCTCCAAATCTCATCCATTTTTTGATGCTCCTCCCTTTTCCCACTTACTCTTCAAGTCCTACCTAGTTAACATCTCTTCCCTCTTCCAGGCTGCCTTTCCTGCACCCTCCCTTCTAGCTTGGACTATTGCAGTAGCCACCCAAGTGGTCATTGCTGCTCTCCCTTCCTGTGTGAGGCCTGTGCAGTCAGCCCCTGATCCCAGCCTTCCTGTCTTGTCTCTCCTCACCTTTCCAGCTCTTGTGCTGCACTCACAACACCAACTTCTGTGCGATTCTGTGTGCCATTTCTAGAATTTTCTTTCCTGTCTCTTCTCATGTTCCTTCATGGCTCTGTTTACATCTGTTGAAATCCTGACCTCCCTTCATTGTCACCTCTGATTCCAGGTGGAACTGGCCTCTTGCTTCTGCTTGTCTCCTGGGAGTCACTCTGTTGTAGTCATTTGTATTCATGTCTTATCTGCATCCCTAGTAGGTGCTCAGTAAGTGTCAAAGGAATAATGGGCTATTGTACATATTTTTAGTTGTCATTACCAATAGAGCAAAGCTTAGCATCAAGTGGGCTTTGGAGATAAGCAGATATGAATTAAAAATCCCAGCTCCCCACCTGCTGTAGCACCTCCATGATCCTCAGCTTTTTCACTGGCAGAATGGGCATGATAATGGTGCCCACAAGAAACAGCTACGAGATGGTGTACACAGAGACCCCACAGAATGCAGAGCTCATGCTAAACACTTAATAAAGGTACCTGTTACTCACTTCTCATATGTCAGTTTGATCTCCAAGGTTGATCACAATCTTCTCTTCATGTTGAACCAAGTGAACAGAACAGGTCAGGTGCTGGCTTTGGAGAGCTGTTTGTGAGTCAGACTCTTCTGGAGACGAGGCTCCTGTGACGTAGGCTCTGATAGTGTGAGCGAGTATTTGAATGTTGCCCGTGCTCTTGCCCTGGGCCATGTCTCCCTGGGCAGCCCATGCTGCTGGCTGGCCTTCAGGCCCCTCACTGCTCTGGGCCTGACTTTCTCTGCAGTTGCTTCCTCCTCCTCTTCAGCCTTGAGATGAGTGAGTTACTGCAGGCAGCTTACAACAGTGAGCATCTGCCCCCCACCAAGAGAGAGAGAACGTCAAACTGTGGGTTGTCAGAGCAAGAAGGAAGCTTAGATGCCATCTTCGGTAACCCCTCACTTCACAGGGCAGGACGCCAAGACCGCATGTTGAGTGGCTCCCCCAAGGCCACACGGCTGTTAGCTGCCGAGCTGGGCTCAGAGCAGAACTCTCCTGGTCCCAGTCCAGTGTTTCCTGCATCACTCAAAGCCTTCTCCCCTCTACCCCCTCCATTGGACTCATGATTTCTGACCATTTTCATTATACCACCAGGCCCTGAGGGCTGTGGCTGAATACCTGAGAGAGGACTGTCTCCCACTGAGAATTTTGGAGACTTTTAGGGTTGTTTGTCTGCTTTTCTGACTCTTGTATCGAACACCTCTAGGAGTTAAGGTGCATTAACATGCAAAAGACAGCCAGCAAATGCCACCAAGGCAGGCTCCAGCTGTTTCTTGGGGCAACTCTTAAATGCAGGAGGCAGTGCATACTAGGTAAAGGAACTGGGGTCACAAATGCCTGGTAACCATACCATACAGCTTTTTTAAAGCTTTATCATTTATGATAATGTGGGTGCATTTGTAAATGCAAGTATAATCATAGCCCACTTTTCACTAATTGTGGAACCAATTTGTTTTGTGGATGCCCCTCTGCCCCCCTGCTTCCCATTGTCCCTTTCCTACAGGCTCCTTGTGTGTGCCCCACCTCCCTCTAGGAAGAGACATTAGCTGTCACTCTAGCCCCGGCTAGTGGTCTTTGCCTTTCCTAGGAGGGAGCTTGGGCAAGGCAAAGCTTCCCGTTGAGGCTCAGTGGAGGGCTACTGCACTCGAGGCCGGGGACAGGGGCTGTGTGCCTGGAGTCCTTCCTGGTCACCGCACAGCCCCCTCACCTGCATGCTGGCCTCACATGCCCTCGTCTTGCTTGCAGGAGCTCACTCATCTGTGCACTGTTATTATCCTACATGGCCCTGTCTCACCTCCTCTGCTGGCCCCTGAGATCCAGCCCGTGTTCCAAACCCGGAGCACCAGATCAGCCTGTCCTCACCAGCTAGTGTTTGGATGCTCTGTCTCCCATTGGGTGAGCTCCTAGACAGGAGGCCAGGAAATACCTCTTTATTCCAGACATCCACGTGCCTAGCTGCAGCCTGAGGAAGAGGGGACAGCTATTGGGGGCCAGTCCTCAGTTTGTGCTACACGGTATATCCAGAAGGTTCTCATGATTCTAAAACCCCGCTTTCTTCACATTGCTCCCTCAGAACCTTCAGTGGAGTGCTCATCCAAGTCAAATTTCAGCAGCTGAGATACAGTTTTCCCAGGCCCTTCTCCCATCACTCACAAGCATCAGAGCCGCTTCTCGTGCTGGCTTAGTCCCAGTTCCCCAGAGTGAAGTTTCCGTTCTCACACTGTGGCCCCTGTTGCTCTCTGGCCACAACCTCCTTCCCCTTGCTTCTGTGCAGCCCCTGCCTCAAGCTGGACCTCTCATGCGAGGCCGCCTCCAGGTGTCAGCCAGCAGCCCTCGCCCTGCCCTGAACTTCGGTCCCACGCTCGGTTGTTTTTGTCCTCTGCTGCTTTGCGCACACTAGTATCTTGATGCTTATCTGTGAGCAGCTTGGGAGCGGGAACCCTGTCGTGTTTCACTGTCATCTCTCTTCCCCTGTGGGGCTTCAAATAACTTTGTAGACACTCCCTCACTGCTTGTTGTGAATGAATGAAGGAAGGAATGTGTGTGTGGGGGAGTGAGGGAGTCATCTGTGCACTGTTATTATCCTACATGGCCCTGTCTCACCTCCTCTGCTGGCCCCTGAGATCCAGCCCGTGTTCCAAACCCGGAGCACCAGATCAGCCTGTCCTCACCAGCTAGTGTTTGGATGCTCTGTCTCCCATTGGGTGAGCTCCTAGACAGGAGGCCAGGAAATACCTCTTTATTCCAGACATCCACGTGCCTAGCTGCAGCCTGAGGAAGAGGGGACAGCTATTGGGGGCCAGTCCTCAGTTTGTGCTACACGGTATATCCAGAAGGTTCTCATGATTCTAAAACCCCGCTTTCTTCACATTGCTCCCTCAGAACCTTCAGTGGAGTGCTCATCCAAGTCAAATTTCAGCAGCTGAGATACAGTTTTCCCAGGCCCTTCTCCCATCACTCACAAGCATCAGAGCCGCTTCTCGTGCTGGCTTAGTCCCAGTTCCCCAGAGTGAAGTTTCCGTTCTCACACTGTGGCCCCTGTTGCTCTCTGGCCACAACCTCCTTCCCCTTGCTTCTGTGCAGCCCCTGCCTCAAGCTGGACCTCTCATGCGAGGCCGCCTCCAGGTGTCAGCCAGCAGCCCTCGCCCTGCCCTGAACTTCGGTCCCACGCTCGGTTGTTTTTGTCCTCTGCTGCTTTGCGCACACTAGTATCTTGATGCTTATCTGTGAGCAGCTTGGGAGCGGGAACCCTGTCGTGTTTCACTGTCATCTCTCTTCCCCTGTGGGGCTTCAAATAACTTTGTAGACACTCCCTCACTGCTTGTTGTGAATGAATGAAGGAAGGAATGTGTGTGTGGGGGAGTGAGGGAGTGGTAGGTGAGGACAGCATGGCTCCCTTCAGCGTGGCTCCCTGTTTTGTACGCTTGGTGCCCATGGCTTTTTTTCTTTTCCCCTTTATCAGGTGGCTCGACTCTTTCATATTGTCTCCTCTTTGGACCTCAGAGAAGGGCAGGTAACCCTGTTGAGAGGTGTGACTAACTCCAAACTGATCCAGTCGGGTAGAGAGGCCAGCTGCCACCTCTGCTCACCAGCACCGGGTCTGGATCGGAGCCAGGTGTCTCTCCCGTGGACACCTGTGTGTGTACATGTGCGTGAATCCCAGGGCCACGTCCTGCTTCCGTGTCCTTCCAGAGCCTCTTGTTGTGCTAGTCTGGTAGCATTTAACATGTGATTAACTTACTTGGTTTTTTTTTTCTTTGTTTAATGCCTGGAGAGTGAATTGAATTTTATAATTGATGCTACCCTGGGACAAATCCTATCTCTTTCTCTCTTGTTTGTTAATCCAGTTTTATGTAAATGAGGTCCCTGTCTTCATCCAGCATGTTAATAAGGAGCCTGCTTGGCATTATGGGAAGCATGTGTAGCTTTTAAGATTAACTCTGTCAGTGAGGGGGTGCCCCTTTAGAAGGAAGTACTACCTCTTCTTGAATTACCAGGGGGCAGTGTGGTTGTGCTACCAGCTATGTTATCAACTGACTGCTTCACTAAAACCTTCTGTCTGTTCTCATGATCATCCATCATAGGTATGAGATGTGTATATGGTGAGATCAGCTAAAAATTCATGCTCTGTCAGAGCCTCCCCCTGTGACTTGGTGTGCCTCTCTGGAAAAGAGGATCTCATCAAGGGCTCACAACCAAGCTGAGCTGCTGTGTAGATCCCAGGCTCATGGGTTCTAATAGTAAACATTCTATTAGTGGTTCATTGTTTCACTTGGAATACTGGACGAGTAAAGGTCTGGGTTTTCCTGACCTTTCCACACCCCCATCCCTGACTAAAAAAAGCATCAAAACGTGCAGAATTTCGTGTGTGTTGGCTACATGACTTTCTCATCCCTTACAAATTGGGTAAAGGATTAGAAATTGAAGATCTCAAATAGAAAATCCAGTGACACAGTTTACCTCTCAAAGTCCAATTCTCTCATAGTTTTAGCTAGGGAAAAAAAATTTAAATAATCAGGAATGGATTACCTTCCTGTGCCCCCAAGGCACTTCTGTGGAATTTTAGGGGTTCTGGGAGCCCAGCTGAAGGAACCACTGGGCCATGTTGTTGACATGCCTAGAAAGCAGCAAGGTGAGTCTGTGAGCACATGAATAAACAATGGCAAAGCTGGGTAGACCGTGCTTATGACACCTAGAATAGGTGACTGAAGAGGTCAAAAGTACAACAGAATACAAGCAGGAGATTCATCTTCACGGAAGGCTGAGTCTCTTTCCCTTTCTAATCCCATGATGCTAGGCTGTGAAGGGGGAGGCTGTCTCCAGGGGTGGGATCCTGAGGACAGTGCTGACGTGGAGTGAGAGCCTCGGGGCCAGGGGCTCAGAAGAACCA